TTTGCTGTTTGAACCAGGGAGTAAGGAGAGTAGCGCCAAGGTGCGGGCTCGACTACGGTATCCATCTGCGCCCTCCTACGCCTCCGGTCTTTTCGATCCTGTCTTGACACGGCGCTCATGTGGGGAGGAGAGTTGAGCGCGGTAAATGCTGCGTAAGTCCACATTTACTATAAACTAATTTCCGCGCATGTCACCTTGTCTGCTTCACCTTGATGTGGAGCACACTGTGGATATCGTCAGCAATGATGGTCGAACTGGTGTATTGCGAAGATGGGAACCTCAATGAAATCGCGGTCGAAAACAAAAATAACATATGACTTTGCGCATTGCAGCAGGTTAAACTGGCTGGGAAATACATGCGTGAAGCCAGCCTGTCAATCGGTGTGCGCTGCTAAATGCGCGTGAAGCCCTTGGACGGGAGACATCTGCGGGATCCCTTATCCAATCAGCGAATGTTCTCTTGGAAGTTGATATCGTCAGCAACATTGTAGATGATTTTCCATTCTTTTTATATCAGGCGTATACAAGGCAGATCACAGTCCAATTCCTGTACACAACCCTTGATGAACAAGCGAAATAAGGTCGGTCTGAACACCGAGCCTTGTGGGAGTTCACGCTCTACGACTGTAAGCCTTGATTGCTGTTGCTCTGCGCAGACAACTTGGGAACGGCCGACGAGGAAATTCTCGGTTCATTTAAGAAACTTTCCTCCGATGCCTATCACTCTCAATTTAAAACGAAGACCCTGGTGCGGAACACTGTCGAACACCTTCCAGGGATCAATGCCGGACACAGGCACCGTGTGTTTTGCATCGAATGTTCTTTTCCAGCATTACACTGTACAAAACAAGTTCGTTACACACAACGATCCCCCTCAAAAGCCTGCTGTACATTGGACAAGAGGTTGTGGGTCCCCAAACTAATCATAAACCCCTTTTTTATTATCCTTCCCGAGACTTTGCAGCAGGGTAATGTCAGACTGACGGATCTGTAGTTAATCGCAAGAGCACGACAACCGTTTTCGCAAAGCGGTGTAATGTGTGCTGTTTTGCGGTCTGTGGAAGAACTCCAGCATCAAACGATCTCGGACACAGAGAGGATGGTGGTTTAGCTAGCCTTCGGGCAAGTTCAGAGAACATCTTTGCTGAAATCTTACCCTGACCTGACAATTTATACTACATCGTACTTTTTAGTTCTTCGGAAATCGCTTCTTTTGGAAACCCAGTATTATCAATTAGTGACTCTCCCATGCTCCCATAACTAGGTTGGGCCAAAAGGGGCTCTCTCATGAAAGCAGCCTGGAAGAACTGAGAATAATGTCCAGTTTTGTTTGTGCTGTCCCATACCTCTAAACTGTCATAATTCTTCATTATAGGAGTCAGATTTCTGTTACGGGCGCTCTTTAATAGATAGTACTTTATGATTGTTTACTGCTCAGTGGTGCAAATTACTCTCGAAATGTAGTCATCTAAAGATCGATTCCTTCACATTGTTCCTTTGGTCTTCGTATTCTGCAAAAAACTCCTCCACCGTCTTCCTTTCTTGTTGTTTTCCATTTTAAGATCTCGTGTTAACCACCGGCGTTGGTAGGATATCATGGGCTTCGGTAGGAGTCAGTGGCTCCTCGACGGTCTGTTCAATGTCGATCAAGCGGTCATTAATCGTTGGCCCGCGAGGCCTACGGACAACGTGTAGGTTGCATTAGGTCTTAGCTTCAACGTGAGTTTCTTCTGCAAGAGGAGTGTCAAAAGAGTTGTTTGCCTCTGTTCTGGGCTCGAGGGGTTCTCAATTTTTTACATCGAGATTATTTTTCCGCTTACTAGCGATGATAGGCCTTCACCGCTTAAATAATCAAGAGCCCTGGTGATCTCTGGGCGTTGAGAGCGCTTCAGAGTTCCTCGCTCTGAAAGTCCAGCCATCTAAAAACGCACAGGAAAAAAGCTTTTGACGTTTCATTGAGCGACTGGCTGTACTATAGCTAGAACGACTTCTTCCTTTGAATGTTCGAAAACCCCCAACTGTGAGGATTGTGCGTTTGTAGGGCTTATACGCACTGTTCGCGAGGGCGAAGGGACAATAAAGGACTTTCTATGACGTGTTTATGATTTCAATTTAAAAAAATCGGTCTCCTGTTCAACGAAGACGTACTTCGTAAAAGATGTTGGCAAAGCAACATATCGGAGATTGTTATCAATGCACAATGCTCGACGAGAAAGTCTGCGGAACCTGCGACGAAAGGGTGGGGGTAGGGAAACCTCAAAACCAGAAATAAGCGGATGCAAAATTTCGTACAGTTCAGCAATGCAAACATTTACATCCGAACTAAGGAAGAAATCAGTCCAATCGTAGGAATTAAGGTATGTTAATAATTCAGTCGAGCGAGCTGATCGGAAATCCTGGAAAAAGCTATACTTTGGGGACAAGGTTTTGTCAGTCTCGAGTTCCAAAATTGAAACAACTATGTCATGGTCTGAACCCGCTAGTGGACCTAGGGATGACACTGACAAAGGCATACAACATATACAGAACATTAGGTCAAGTATGCTTGATCCTCTTTTGGAAAATCGACAACCTGGCTCCACATCCCAACATCCGCAGCCTCAAGAAAATCATCGAACCCTATGGGGCCGGAAGGCGGAGACCAGCTGACTTCAGGAGGATTGAAGACCTTTATGGAAAATCCTGGCGAATTCCACTAAGCAAATGCACCGTGGAATCAAAAGTTGACATCTCCGGAACCATGTTCCCCAGTGAGCCAAACAGCCAGAAGGCTGGTTGGTATTCTCTTCGTCACCAAGTGTTCTTTTGTTGATACAGACGAGGAGATATTTGGAAAATTATGTAGGAACTTCGTCCATCCGCACCTGAAACATTGAAGTCACGCAGGGCGCCCCTGACTATAAAAAAGCTTGTAAGTCACTTGAAGTGGTTCGTAGGAGGACGGAAAACACGTGGGTGGTCGAAAATGCAAATGTCGAATTAGTGTGCTTAAATTATTTTGCTTAGACTACAGGCATTCCCGAGGAGATCTCAAACACACCTACCGGACGGTAAGAAATCGTGATTGTGTTCGGCCCTTAGATGATTTTCTCGCATTAGCCACAACACTCATCCTGTGCGGGAAATCTCTTGAACTTCATAGTACCTTGTCGTACCTGAATGCCCCTCAGTGATCCTTTTGTCGCAAGTTGCGGGCGCCTGGAATAGACTTCCTTAAGGCACAATAATGACAGAAACAGAAAGTGGTTTAAGCACAAACGGGAGGTATATTCACCGAGAAAATACGACTCAAACGGACTGGAAAAATCTGAAACGCCAAATCAACGCTCTGCTCATACCTGCATTAGAGCAAAGGAAGAAGACATGATCACTGGGACAAGAGCTTTATTCGTGTGACGTTTTGGATTCCTGCTCGAACCCATCATCGGAGACATAAGCAAATGCAGGTGGTTCATGCACAAGAGGCTGCAGTATTTATAGGATGCAGTCGCCACGCTACCGCACACTTATGAATATTCATGGCCCCACCCCTTCATTAAGGATCGTTGCACTTGGTGTGATGACTGTTTGTTGGCCGACATTCGCGTCGTTAATTGCTGCAATTTTATCACGTGTGTTGGATGTTGGTGTGATGATTGCCCGACCATTTAACTTACAAACCCTAGCGTTGGGAACAGTGTTCATCTGTACGCTCCGCGCATGACTAATTACTCGGCACCCAGTATGGAAGGGGAAGGTCGTTTCACTTTTTGATGGAGTGGGGGCCACTGAACCATGACTCACCAGCTCGCGGCTCACAAAGTTGTCACTTTTGGAGAGAATTCCGGCCTCGTTTAATCTGAATGTGTGGCCGGATCTCGTCGAATGAGCCGCAACTTGAGATCTGGCGTCATTTTTCCTCACGGCTGCAGCGTGTTCGGCCATTCGCGTTTGGAGCTGGCTTCCGGTTTCCCCGACGTAGTTGCTTTGTCCGCAACTGCACCAGATCCGATAAACGACTTCAGGTGTTTCTTGCCACGGGAACGGGTCTTTCGGTTTCGTTATCTAACGCCTGATGGGTGCCTCCGGTCCGTGTGCAAATCCAACCCCCAGTGGTGCGAGGAAGGATATCGGCTTACTCGAACAAGTGCGTTTCAGAGTAACGAAGATGGTCTATGGTATAAAGCACTTGTCTTACCAGGAGAGGCTGAATGCGCTTGGCTTATTTCCTCTATCCCATAGGCAACTAAACTACAGTCTATTCTGGACATTCCGACTTGTCCGTGGCCAAGGTTCCTCATTAAGAACGGAGGATTCCTCTGGGTTTGTCCGTACAAACCAATTGCGCAGTCACCCTTATAAAGCCAAAAGTGGACGCACGCGGCTAGTCCGAAGGGAGTTTTCCTTCAGCCAACGGGTTGTCCGACCATGGAACTCATTAGCAAGCGAGATTGTGACGGTCGACAATATTTGCATGTTTAAAAGGATACGCGCTTGCTTAATTTTCGACAGAAACCGGCTTTTGCAGCATGAATTTTCACAGCCAGCTATGTAAAACACTGTCATCCATAACCTTTCCACACTGACTTACGGTGAACCAATGCTCTTCCTTATCATTCCGATCTTACTGTGGTCCGATAACACTGTAAATATCTGCAGTTTTATTTTGAGTGCGAATCTGCAAAAGCATTGTACACAAATAGGGCCATCAAAGGCTCTGCCTCTAACCCTCCAACAATATACCCATACATACAAGCAGCTCGATTGTCTCGATCGCAAAGTACTCGGGAATAGAAGTAGAAAGGGACGTAACATCAAAAGATATCATGGCATCATTCGGATAGAGGTTTACGCCTTTGAGTTTTTCCAGGAATTGCGCTGACGAAGGGACCGCGGTATCTGAATCAGCGGTCAGGAACTTAACACGCCGGAACAGTCACTTAGCCAGTCCTTACGTTGACTTACCTTTGATCGATACGATGGGCCGGAGAGGAGCGCTCTCTTTGTGCATCTTAGGGAGGCTATAGAATCGGGCCAAAGCCGTATCTTGGGGTCTCGCCATGCGTCTGTCGGTCGGTGCCACTGCTCTTAGTCTCTTCCGTTGCTTCCGTCTGACTAATAATTGATTCCACTGCTGCAGTTGTGTTAATAGGTTTGGCATCAGCCGTGTTGAATGAAGCTTCGTGCAGTAAAACCTGCATATGATACTTTGTCAGCTCCTTTGAACACAAATTTTGAACCAGTTTGTCGTTCCTGGGCGACGTTGGATTGGACAGCTTTCGGAATTTGTTCTCCAGTGCTGCGTCGCGCACCACTGTCTGTTCGTGAGCTCGTTCAGCCACCCTCTGCAGGAGCAGATTTGTACCGATATCACCCATGAGCTCAGAGCATCTGGTCTTTTCTTGGTCAATCTTCTGACGGTACTTGCGAAGTCTCGCGTGACAATCTTGGAAGCGCACTCGGATCATCCTTCTGCCGTGCTGAAATACTGCTCGTCTCGCTTGTCCCAGCGATCGTGTCTCCCCCTTCACGACTGATTCCTGGGACTCGTCTCTTCGCCTTTATTAGCTATTAAAGCGAAGGTGTATTATTAAATATTGTAATCGGCACACATTTTAAGTTCTCGGGTTTAAGTAGTCACATTTACTAAGTTACTTAACACGGTGAATATGTTACTGAAAACCTCATTGTACCGTGTCTATTTCGATTCGAGTATTGTTCATACCGCTTTCAAAAGGGTATCGTCCTGGTGTTCCAAACTGTCAGGGTGTCCAGAAAACGACTCCTCTCAGATTGGCAAAGTTGAGATATCCGGGTTGAGTATTTGAAGACGAAGACAGGCTCTCCGGAAGAGGTTTATTTAAGTGCTGACGTTTCGAAGAGCTGGGTCGGCTCTTCATTGTCAAAGCGTAAAATGCACTTAATCGATCAGAAATTTAATTTTAAGTGGAAGATGTGTTGGCCGGCCCCATGCTGATCGATTTTCCCCCTCTCGCTGCCTCGGACTCTCGGGAGATGGTTGACGGGCGTTTTGCCTGTGTGCTTTGTGAGTCACCAATCCGTCGAGGAGAACTGATTGGACTTTAGTCGGGCGGTCGGTCTGGCGGTTCTTCTTCTTCTTCCTCACCGAGTAAACTCAGCGTCGGGCTATCTCCGTGCGGCCTTCTTAAGTCCGGTGTGGTTGTTTGGTCTTGAGCTCTACGATTGTGATGACGTAGGACTTTGTAAGCTGCAGGAAGGTCCAGATGCCTGTTGATAGAGTGGACATCGGAGAACCACGCCTCAAGAGATAGCCGTTCTGTTTTTGTGTTGCCTCGGCCTAAGTTGGTAGTCCTCTGGAGGTCAAAAATATGCCCCGTTTCTCCAACGTGTGTTGCTAGTTGAAAGTTAGGGTCTAACCTCCGAGTGGGCGATTTGTGTTCTTGTAGGCAAGTTTGCAAATTCCGCCCGGTTTCGCCCACATAGTTGCAGTCGCCCTCATTGCAATTTATTTTGTAGATGACTGCTGAGGTTTCAGCGGGTGGCAATGGGTCCTTAGGTTGCATTAGGCGACGTCGAATTGTTGCTTGTGGTCGGTGGGCTATGCCTACTCTGGTAGGTTGTAACAGTCGCGAGACCGCTTCAGATATCCTTTTAACGTAAGGAATGGGCCTCCAGACTTCAGGTTGCTGCCCATTTGGCCGTTGTCAGGGCGCCCAACGTCTGCTTCTCTCGATAAAATGTCTGGGATAACCATTGGCTGCAAATAGGTTCACAAGGTACAGTAGTTCGGCTCTTTTATCTTCTGGTGTGCTGCAGTGTGTTTCGACTCTTTGGAATAGAGTGCGGACACGACTACGTTTCTGAGACAGATGATGGTTGCTGTTGAAGTGTAGGATCTGTCTCGTGTCGGTGGATTTTCGGAATACTGTAGTTTGCAGCTGTCCAGTGGTACACCGGCGCACAAGTACGTCAAGGAAAGGCAGTTGGTTGTTTGTTTCTGTTTCCACCGTGAATTTTGATCGTGTTGACCATGCTCTTCTTCTCCTTAAAATGTCCTCTTACGGAATAGGTGAGAAGCTCTTGAATTTTATATCCTCTTACCTGGGCACCCGTACACAACGAGTTAAGATTTCCAATACTATCTCCAACACCACATGTGTAAGGAGTGGAGTCATTCAGGGTAGTGTACTCGGCCCACATCTATTTTGCCTTTTCGTTAATGATGTACCCGATTTATTTCAGAATGGTCAGCCTTTCATGTATGCCGATGATCTTAAAGTTGCATATCGATATAAGCCGGCAGATCGTAACATCGTGCTTGAGCTCCTAACGAGCGACCTACAGGCTTTCGCCCAGTGGTGCCGCACATGGCGCCTTTCTCTTTCTTGGCACAAATGCTCAGTCATGGTGGTTGGCGACGACCACCAACCTCAACTAAGTATTGAAGGTAACGCCATAAATGTGCCTGGGGTTATTAAGGATCTGGGTGTAGCAGACTCCAAGAGCCTCAATCTTTCGGAGCACTGTGCCTTGATAGTCTCCAAAGCACGTAGAACGACCGGGTTTATCCTCCGAAACTTTAAAACTAGTGACATTATAATGCGTTGTTCCAACATGTACGTTAGACCTGGTCTGGAATACTGTTCGTTTTTATTTAGTCTCATGCGGGCAACTGAGCGAAAGAAAATAGAAACCGTTCAACACTTTTTTACCAAGAGAGTTTTAACCCCCGAACACCGACATGCGTCTTACCAAGAACGTTGCCTGCTTACAGGCCTTGATCCTTTATGGTTCCGTAGATTACAAAAGGGACTATTTTTGTTATTTAATCTCTTATATAATCACACCTTTAACCCATTCACCTCTTTAAAACATCATGTCCACCCCCGACGTGGCAGTCACCGTGCGGTCAGTTTTATTTTTATTTCTTCCTCTAGCACGTACTGTTAAATACCATCGGTTCTATTCTGTAAATGCAATTGCTATTTGGAATAAACTACTCAGTAATGTAAAAAAATCTGCAAAATTATCCTTTATTTAAGAGAACTATTACTCGATTTTTGCATTCAGAAAAGCTCCCACAGATTTTGGGTGCTGAATCCACTGATCGACTGTACCGTAGCGATGGCGTTTGTGGTCTCTGACCACTATGGCCGGTCTCACCAGGGACAATTTCATTGGTCAACAGCGACAGCTTTTCTTCGGCGCTTCTGTCTGGACTAGCCCCAACTTCATGAAAGAAATTGGCGACTGATAATATCCGATACCGTGCAACCCCTCCCTTCTTGACGGTCGACAATTTGCGGTCAGCAGTTTTTTTTCCTGAACGCTCCAAACCATAAAAACCACCATCAACTTTATTTTTATTCCTTTTCCACAGGACGTTTTCTCACTGCTGGACGGATTTGTGTTTAACGCTTCCCTGACAATGCCTGTAAACTGGCACTAAATAAATCATTATCATGATCATTAGCTGTAATTTGGACTTATTGTTCTCGCTGCTGTGGGAATATTCTTTTTACTGGCACCGAGAGTAACTCGATATCAGGGGGCAACTGAATAGCTAAGGTTCTGCAACAACGTGTGGAAACCGCTATTTCTGAGATTCGGCTGAGCTCACGTTCGCTTCTATTGATTTCAATACACCAAACTCAAATGTTCGTGGTGAATAATGGACCGGTTGCTTTTAAAATAAACTAGGCCATGCGGAAAGGGGTTTCCTGGTTATTGGTTGTTAATACTAAGCTTAAGTAGAAGGGGTTTTAACGCTCTATATATTTAGGCCAGGTCACCTTTTTGAAAGCCTATAGCTCGGAACTCTACGCGCTGCAAAACTGCTAATAGACAGATTGTTTCAAACAACTAGCGAACTATGAAATTCGTCATTTGCAGATGGAATTTACCATGGCTTGCACTGGTACTGTCCTTTAATACAAAAAGGTTTTCGATACACTGTATAAGCGGTCTTGTATACCCGACACAAACGACGGGTAAACCGGTGGAGAAAACATTAATTAATATAGTAAATGCCAAAATTCATAGAAAACTTCCACAGTTTCCTAGTCACAAAGTGAAAATTCAATGCAGAACTTATGGAAGAAAGATTTTAAGAATATGATTTGCAGCAGGACGACGAACTCCCTGAAACCATCCGCTTACTGTTCGAGAATGGCACAAAGCGCTATGTCCATACCGTACGTCATCAAGCGTGCGTTTATGGAGGTTAACAAAGACGCTTTCTAAAAGACATTCGGAAAATTTGTCCGGCCGCACTTGGGATACGGCATACAAGCCTGGAGACTGTGGGTAGTTTAAGATCAAGACTTCTGCGAAAGAGTTCAGAGGAGAACCACGAAGACGGTTAGGCGTCAAAGCAACCTTCCTTATGCAACCCGCCTAGTAAGTCTGAAAATCTTCTGTTTGAGTTAAAGGCAACTTCGCGGAGATCCCTTGGAAGCATTTTGCATATTAAAGGGTCTGGACTGCAGCCTGGCCTTTGAGGACTTTTTTCAATTATTTACCACGACCAACGTCCGATGTTACCCGTTAAAACTGCGCACTCAGCAGGCAAGGCTGGATGTGCGGAAATTCTCCTTCTCTTACGGAGTGGCTAAACCATGAACTGTCCTCCCTGCAGATGTTGTGATGTCGCCATCGATACAAGGTTCTAAAAAGAACCTTGACATATTTTTGTTCCGAAATAACCAAGAGCGATGAGAGATCAAGCTCATCCCCCAAGCCTCACTCCCGTTTTGTCAAACCATTATAGGCTCATTTGCATTATCTCAGCCAGATAGTTTCTCTGTACACCCCACCCACTTTTGCTTTGCAATTAGGGTACTCAAAGGCTTGAGCCTATTTCCCTCAACAAACTGAACTGAAAAAGGGAGGAGACAGCTAAGAAATCCCAGTCGCGTTAGTCTGCCTTACGAACCCCGTCGATTCGTGTAGAAAGGCACAGAAACAGTCTCGAAACCGAATAATGCCTATATTTTATACGCGTTGAGGAATACAAATATCTTGAGTATCTCTGACCTCAATTTGAGTGAAATGTGGTACTCTCCAAATTTCGGCGCGGTTCTTTTGACTAGGTTTCACGTTATTTTTTGTCCGAGATGGCTGAGTATGATTTGACAAAGAAGATAAGTCATTACCTCGATCGACATTTGGTCGTTCCGCTTTTGGAGTATATTTCCGTCAAAAATGTTTGTGTCTTACTTTACTGACAATATGTAGATGTACGATGCAGACTCAATTTTGCGGACCAAATTGGATCTGCTGATGAAGACATCCATGATCGATTTCGCTGGCTGTACTTATAAAGCTCTCCACGATACAGACGAGCTCCCTGAAGGTGTTCAATAATTCTACTTTAATTAGTTTAGAAATGGTAAAAAAGCGT